GGGGATTGGTTTGGTGGGGAAGAGGACTGGACGCCCTTTTATGTGGGTATAACGCCCTTTATTAAGGCGCTATATTATAGCGTCTTAATAAAGAGCGCTATACCTTTCTGCTCATTTCAGGCTCAAATATAACGCCCTTTTAAAGGGCGATATACCTTAACGGGCAAACGGCCATTAAGGTATAGCGCCCTTTAAAAGGGCGTTATATATATTTTGGTCACTATATTTTTTTCCACACATTTTGGTTCATTGAGTCCAAAAGAACCGCATTTTGGTTCCGGACTGCCTATAGTCTCAACAGCATTCAGTTTTACATTTATTCAACCCTTTTCAGCTTTACCAGGAGGGTACACTGGACATAATTACAGACATTCTCATATTGAAAATGTAGACTGATAACTCTAGGGTCACTGGCTTACTGTAGTACAGTTTTACATGTAGAAAACAACTAGGACTTGATAGAACATCACAGATGGAGTTACTCATTCACACATCCGAATAGATGCAACAACCGAACTGTTAAAAGCTTTTGGACAAAGCCTTATTGATGATTTTCAAGATTGGCTATTCCTTGTAAGGAAGTCAAGCACTAGTTGATTGACCTCGTCAGGTAATTGTTCTTGACCAAAATGGCTTCCTTCTGGCAAGTTAACCATCTGCAGATTAGGTACTAAACTTTTGAGTCCTCCACTTATGTAGTCTTTGATGCCAGGAAATTTGAGGAAATAATCCTTCTCACCCACAATAAACAGTGCCGGAACATGAACTCTTGGATCTGTAATGTTGGCTTGTTCAAGCAGTGACCTATTGCATGATGAAACTCATAGACAACCAGAAAAAAAAAAGAGAGAAAAAGAAGATATATCAGGAAAGTGTTCAGTAGCTAAATAACCATCAAAGTAACTCCAATAACTCGAATTTTCTGTCATTTTATGAATGTTAAACACACAATGGTCGAAGTTAGCACTTCAGCTATATATATACTCTACTATTTACTTTTTTAACTCTGCCTCTTCCTCACCACCGCCGTAAATGTCATCAAAATAAAATCCATTGTTGGTTGCTGTATATAACAACTGTCTGTGACATGAGTGTGGAATAGAAAAAAAGCTGCCAAAAAGGGACTTTACAGCTCAAATAGACATAGATTGTCGTTGTAGAGTCTGGAATCCAGATTTCTCATACAAGGCTCCATATGTTTCCAGGTCTTCCTCAGCNTACAAAGCTCCATATATTTCCAGGTCTTCCTCAGAGAACCAAGGGGGTAGAGGGGTCGAAGGTTGCACAATGTCCATGATTTCCTGCTTTTCATTGGCTATTGGTATTTCACTTCTAGAAAAAAGAATGTAGATGTTCCTCACTACTGTTTTAGCGTCAAGGCGACCAAAATCAGCTTCAGCTCTACCAGGTTCCTGGAAAGAAAATTTCTTGGAGATCAAAGAGAACTAAGATTGATATCATGGAATGTAAATCAGAGAGCAAAATCGTACCCTCCATCGCGAAATATAGAAGCCTTCAGGGAGGTATTCAGTGTACTTGAAAGGTTGTGGGGGCAAGAATGGTACTCCCATGGTAATAAATCCAGAGACTCTCTCCCCGTGGAGAAGGATAAATAGGGAAATGACAGCAGATCCGAAGTCTTTGCCAATGAGAAAAGCCTACATTATTGCACATATATAGATATCAGTACGACACATGCCAAGAAAGAGAGAGAGTGCAAAGAAACAAGGATATAAACACCAGCCTATATCAAGTTCTTATTTCACGCAGAATATGAAAAGATCAATTGGTTGAGTTATAACAACACAGGCTCTAAATTAAATTCCACTAGAAACTCCTAATACTGCCAGGATATTACCGTTTCACCTATACTTCTTCAAATTTTCATACTCCCATGAAGTTTAGCCAACAACTACCAATGTATTTAAGATTATGAGCTTAGACCATGTAATGTAGAATCATTTGCAAGCACAAAAATGCTCGAAAATCATTGCGTTTTCTTTTTCATCCAATATACAAGTTGTGATTTCTTCACTTACGTCAAAATTGAAGCTCTTTGAGGAAAATAACAAAAAAGGAAGTTGGTAAAAAATCTAACAAAAATAAAACCTTTCAAGTTACATTAACAACAAAATATGCAATGTTTTTTTTTTTGGCTGAAAAAGATGCAAGTTCATAAAACACAAGAATGACTAGAGATTTGTACAAACTTAAAATAATGTGGCAACTAACTAATGCGTATAGATTCACCTGCAAATCCTAGTGTATTTAATTATTAGAAGCTAAAGAAGGCTAGATTCTATTTATGCTAACTCAAGCAATCTAAACATGTTCCACCTACTTCAAATACACTAATTTGCTTACCCGATTTAGGTTCCTATCTAAATAAGGATAGCAGTCATCCCTTGAACCATAAATCAATTTTTTTCAGCACTTAGAAACTTCCTATCGCTATTTGAGGAGTCAATCGGTTTTTCCTTTCAATTTTTTTCAACAAATATTTTAAACTGATAATTGTTTTGATTTATAAGTACTACTCTTTTAAGTAATTTCAAACTATACTTATGTTTTATTATAAAATATTAATCCATGAATTTCGATCTTTAGCAGCAGCCACCAGGAAAAGGGAAAAGGAAAGAACTTTAAGCTTAACACAGTAAGAAAATAACTTCTTCTTCTCAAAATTTTGAGAAGATGAATACCTTAGAGATGCCAAGAGCATCAAGAAGTGCAAGGGTGTCATTAGCCAAGTCAAGAAAAGTGGTTTTCTCGGGCTCGGGTGGCTGATCCAATAACCCGTGTCCTCTGAAATCGGGTGCAATAGCTCTGAAACCAGCTTCGGCCACAGCTATCATTTGGTACCTCCAAGTATACCATATTTCAGGAAATCCATGCAAGAACACCACAACCGGGGAATTCCCACTTCCGGTTTCAGCTACATGAAGATTTAGCCAATTTACTTCAACGTATTTGTGCTCTATTTGTTCCATCTTGCTCCTTTTAACTTTCAGTTATGTTGAGAATGGAGAGTGACCGACAATGTTTTCTTTGGAAATGTCGGACAACTATATCCACTTTGTTTAGACTTCAGAACAATTGAAAAATTACTGCATTCGGAATAAGTCGCATTTGAGAAATGTCGACTTATTTAGAATTTGCTTGAGATTTATAAGTCGGCATTGAGATTTATAAGTCGGCATTGAGATTTATAACTCGTATTTGCTAATTGAGACTTATCAATCTGTTGACTTTTGAGCTAGAAGCGAGACGAGCTTGAGAGGAGAGGATGCGATTTTGTAAAATATCAAAACTTAATATGTACACTCAGTGTATATATACCTACAGTGTTAACTAACTTCTGGAACCTTCTAAGTAACTGCTAGCTAACTTGCTTAACTGACTAAATAAGATTAACCACCTACTCACTGCTAATTGACTCTACTTACATCAGCTTGTTAGCTTTAACCATAATCAACACTCCCCGTCAAGCTTATAGTTGAATACAAATTCTTCACTCCAAGTCTTTGGAGCAGGTTATCATGTTGTGCCTTTCCCAAACCTTTTGTAAGAATATCTGCTAGTTGTTCATTAGTTGACACATGCTCAATTTGTATAGGCCCTGCATTATTCTTTCTCTTACAAAGTGACAATCTATATCTATGTGTTTTGTCCTTTCATGGAAAATAGGATTAACTGCAATTTGGATTGCATCCTTGCTATCACACATTAGCTTCACTGGCACTTGTGCTTCAACTCCCAGCTCTTTGAATAGTCCTACTAACCAGATAATCTCAGCTGTGCACGATGCCATGCTTCTGAACTCAGCTTCAGCAGAGCTTCTGGACACTGTCCATTGCTTCTTTGACTTCCATGAGATTAGATCATCTCCAATCTTTACTAAGTACCCTGTTACTAATTTCCTAGTTTGTACACAAGCCTCTCATATCTGAGTCACAATAGGCCAGTAAATGATTGGTGTTCTGAGCAGGCATGAACAAGCCCAGACCTGGTGCCTCTTTAACATATCTCACCACTCTAAGGGCAGCTGCCATGTGTGAAACCTTTGGTCTGTGCATAAGCTGATTTAGTACTTGAACAACAAATCCTAAGTCAAGTCGATTCATAGTGAGATAAAGTAGTCTTCCTACAAGTCTCTGATAAGGCCCTGGATCCTTGAGGAGATCCTCTTGAGTGCCCTTCTGAATAGACTTGTTATATTCCTCAGAAGTGAGGTTTTGGTTGAACTCTAGAGGAGTACCTGCAGGTTTTGCACCCCCTAATCCTAATTCAGCAATAAGCTCAAAGGCATACTTCCTTTGACACATAACAATTCCTTCTCTGGACCTTACAAACTCAATGCCAAGAAAGAATCTCAATTCTCCCAAGTCTTTCATTTTGAACTTGGTTTGTAAGTCTTTCCTTGTCTGAGTTAGAAGCTGTTGACTATTGCCTGTAATCAATAAGTTATCAACATATACTAGTATTATGGTGATATCACAACCTGCCTTCTTAATGAAAAGAGAGTAGTCATAATGACTTTGTTGAAACCCCATTTGAACTAGAGCTTCTGTCAGCTTTTTGTTCCATTATCTTGGTGCTTGTTTAAGCCCATACAAGGACTTATGCAGTTTGCAGACCTTCAGATTCTCCCCTTGTCACGCAAACACCGAGGAAGCTGCATATAGACTTCTTCTACTAGATCACCATTCAGGAAAGCATTATAGACAGTGATCACGCCTAACTCTAGTCTTAAAAGGGATAAACAGTCGCTATAAATATAGTCCGGTCTAAAAGTCCGGAGTCGAATCCCATAGTGAACTAAAGTTTAGCTACAACTGTTTACTATCACTAAGAAAATAAACTCGAGCTATTCCTAAGTTATAAATATTAAGATTCTTGTATCTAATTAACTAACAAATTAACTTAGTAGATTAACAACTAGGGATACTAAGGGTTGAAGACAAGATTAAGGAGGCCTAGAATGATTTTCCCAATTATCGAAATCCTTTACGCTACGTCTTTTATAATTTTGCCTAAGTATTCTCTACCGATTGTGAGTACTTCGGATGTCTTAGTTCTCTTCCGAGCAACTACCACAATTTACTAAACATATTCGTCTGAACTACGCTAGCTGGTACTAATTCACCGCTCACTATGATCGCACTAAGGTTTCATTATTCCTAATCTCACTTTTAAACCCTCTGTATTGATTCCTCACATACGTTAGGAGTGATGTTGTTCAACAACTACCTAAATATGTATCCTTTTCCAAGCAATACACACTAAATAGGCACAGTCAATTAAGGGCCCTTCAATCAACTAAAATAATCACGTAGTTGAACAAGAAGAGAAAATCCAACGACAAAATAATATTAAACGCAACAGAAAAATCATCCTTCAAAAGGTTCCATCAAAACCTTAGATAACAAATTAGCTATTCATAATAGTATGCATAACTGCAATACTAGAATTCACAACTAATAATAAAAATAGGAAGAAGGAAGTGAAAAACTCGTAGAAGAATTCTCTGCCTTGTTCCTAGTGTGTTCTTGCCTCCTTAGGTCGAATCCCCTCTTCGAAAACATCCTCTTTAGGTTGAATCTGCTCTAAAAAACGTCTCCCCTTCTAAGATAGGGTTGAAGTCCTTGAGTTCAAATCCGGGTCGGAATTTAACCTGCGACTTTTAATTACCGAGCTATAGACCTCGCGAGGCCAGGCTTATAGCGTGGTCAACCTGGCTATAGACCTCGCGAAGCCTGGTCCGTAGCGTGGTCAAGCTGGCTATAGACCTCGCGAAGCATGGTCTGTAGCACGGTAGAGCAGGCTATAGAGCTAGCTTTACTTGGTGTGTAGCACGGTTTGGGTACTTGATACTTTTGTGCTCTTTTCTTGCATTTTGTCCTCTTTTTGTGCAACTTTCATTCTTCTTTGTATTCCAATACTCCTACACATAAAACAACGTAATTTAGCTCAAACATCGCACAATTAACCACTAAACTAATAAAATATAGGGCGAGTAATGTACTAAAAATATAGTATTTTGGCCTAATATCACTACTCCACACTTAAACGTTGCTCGTCCTCGAGTCAACCACCAATTCACACTAACCTAGAGCACTTTATTTTCTTTCAGCACATCCGAAGCACACCATACCTATGACTATGGTTGATAGCAACAATTAAACTTTAGCATACACGTTCAACACATATTTCCCTTTACTTTATGCCATACTTCAAAAATTTATTCAACACAAGGCAACATGTTTATAACAATCCTAGCCTCACAAACCGACTCCGTATCACAATGCATTCATGGCTTGAACACTTAACATCATAGAGAAATCTAACAATGTCACCTATCCTTTTCGAAACCATGTGTCCATACAACAAGAACATGAGAGTAAATTGAATCCACACATTCGAATCAAATGCTCAAATATGTTTTAAGGACTCACATATATCAAAGAATTCCTCACTCTCACAAAGAAGTCACATGCATGCACAAAGCACCATCGGCTTGCCCATTATATAAACCTCTACTAATGTAGGCTTGCTCAATCTAAAATCAATTAGAACTTTTTATGATTGCAATGTGGTCTAAAAGACGGGTAGGATAAATTTAGGAATATNATATATATTCTTTTTTCTTTTTGCAATTTTTCTTTTCTTTGCTACTCCCGCTAGTAGTGTATTCTTTTGCAAAACACGTACACTTTTCTCTTTCATTGGTTCCACTCAAAAGCCACCCAAGTTCCCTCCTTACTTTTTCTAGCGATTATTTTACAATTAAAGTATTTTAAGAGGTAAAAGGATCAAAACAGTGACAATTACGAACAAAGGGTATAGGCTCGTAATGTGGGTGCCAAATAAAAGTCTATAGGCTCAAAAGGGTTTAGTAGGGATAGATTTATTTGTGGTAGACATTAAGTTCAAAAGGATCGAAGAAAGCCTAAAATCATTTTTCAAACAGAGCAAAACCTAAAATTTTGCTTCAACTCACATGCGTGCCAGGCAAGTTCTAGACTCTAATGCAATGACATGGACTATACAATTTCTCACCACACATGGCACATGACTCACTAAGGACGACTCCATTTAGATTCTTAAACAATTACAAGTATTTACAGAGCCACAATATATTAAGCATTAAGTACAAAGTAAACACAAGCCAAGAAAACGAGACATATGCGTCAATAAACATGCTATCTAACTCAACAAAGCATCATAAGAGATTTCAAACTATAGGGAAGGTAATACAAATGCTAGAGGCTAAATACGCTACTATCAAACAAGTCAAAAAGTGCCTAGGAATTTCATCTTACTTCTTTTATTCCCTAAATCCTATTCTACTCTAAAAATAAAAAAAACTATGACCTGGTTCAAACTACATCCCATGGAAAAGAACCTAGGCACAAAAAAAAAAAAAAAAAAAAAAAAATCACGGGGGATTATTATTACCTACAAAAATAAAAAAAATATTTTTGGATTATTCTATTTTTTTGTCAAACTTTAAACCTTCAAGAAAATTGTCTAGGATATCCATCGTCGGGAAAAGTCTAATTTTTTTATTTTTCTAAAACAATTAAACTAACACAGCTAAAATAGCATAAAAAGTCACTCAGACAATCTCCTCACCCTACACTTAAAATTGTGCATTGTCCCCAATGCACACCATAACTAATAAGAAGGTAAAAGAAACTCCCTGGTAGGCCAAATGCCAAAGCACTAGCAGCTCATGGGGTACTCAGACTTCTCCTAGGTCTGGTCCTTCGTGCCGGTACCTTACACTTAGTTCCAACAATCTGGTTTGCTGTTGCATCCTTCCAATAACTTTACTTTCCATGCTCCTAGAAAATTAAAAATCGACACTACAAAAATAATCAAATTTAAAAAATAAAATAAAATAAAATAAAAGAAATTAGTAAAGCTGGGTTGTCTCCCAACAAGCGCTTGATTTAACGTTGCAGCACGACGTGAATCACTTTCTTCTTCCACTTCGAACTTATGAATTGGACCCCAAGTTTTGATTCCACTCTATGATCATGCTCTTGGGGTGATACAAATTGTTGTTGTCACGCCCCAAACTTGGGCCTGGAAGTAACACGGCACTCGGTGCCTGACTACATGTGACCGAGCGAACCAACTGGCTGGCTAAATCAACATGTGATATCATAACATACTGAATGCGGAAGATAAACTAACACATGCTGATATACTGAAAGTCTGAATGATATAAATCAAAGTAGGAAAATACTAATACAATTTCT